ATTTTACTACAATCGTATCTAACAAAATCAGTTAATATCGGTTATGAAAGAAATTGCTCGACTTAGGCTGTCAGCTCACAAATTAAACATTGAATCTGGACGTTATGTTGGCACTGTTAGAACTAAAAGATTATGTACAAAGTGTAATATTAATGATATAGAAGACGAGTTTCATTTTGTTTTAGGTTGCACAAGATATACAGATTTAAAACGGAAGTATTTAAAATGTTGCTATAGAAATAACCCTAGTGTATATAAGCTTGTTCAATTACTTTATACACAGAATATTAAAGAATTATGTAATCTTGGAAAGTATCTGATAGAGGCAAATAAGCGCCGATCAGATACATGACAGTTTGTATGTGTGTATTGTTCATTCTCCTGTGACCAATGTGGCTTTTTGTACATATGTAAATATCCTGTTTAATATATGTTTACACTGATAAGTCGTAAGACTTAAAGTTAATAAAGAACTTGAACTTGAACACGGTGGCATACGCGCACTGGCGGTCACAGCCTTAGGGATATAGGCATGGCAACCCGCCATAGCTCTTTTACAAACAAAATCAAATTATGATGACGAGATGGCCTTCTTTAGCACCATTCTTCTTAAGTTTCCCTGTCCCACTGTAGAATTCAAAAATCACTAAAGAGTTCCACTTTTGGGGTTTTGTATATACAGTAACCTCTACTTAACATGTTTCTAAACATGTTCTTCAGGTTGGTAAGTGTGTAAAATGTGTACGAGTTGTCAATAAAATCGATGTCGATTTTGGCTACGCTGGAAACGTATGTACAATAGTTGCAGGAAATTTACCAGATCTGAAAGAAAACAGTCGGGGTCCCAGATAAATAAATCGGCAATCACAGACCATGCCACACAGAAAAACCATGTGATTGACTGGGATAACTCCAAAGTTTTGGACAGAGAGAGCAATCTGTTCAAGCGGCAGATAAAGGAAGCCATCTGGGTACGCCGCAGTGGGCCACTTCTAAATCGAGACGAGGGGCCTCAAAGACTCTCGCACATGTATGACCAAGTGTTATCAAAGCGTAGCTGAATTGAGTCATTTCGGTACATATATATACGTTTCCAGCGTAGCCGAAATTGACATCGATTTTATGGACAACTCGTACACATTTAACACCTTTGTGTGCATACGCTTCATTGGTCATTTGTCAGAACAACAGGTGTGGTACGATTGTCACAGTACAACGAAACAAGAAAAACAATCTGACGAGACAATGAAAACTTACTGATATCCGTATTGATACACAGGTGGGCAAGTCGTGGTCATGGCATAGCAACAGCCTTGACAACTTGTATGTCATGGCATAGCAACAGCCTTGACAACTAGTATGTCATGGCATAGCAACAGCCTTGGAAACTAGTATGTCATGGCATAGCAACAGCCTTGACAACTAGTATGTCATGGCATAGCAACAGCCTTGACAACTAGTATGTCATTGCGTAACATCCTAGGACAACAAAGTGATAAAACAATCAACGAAAACTTTGTAGAATGGGTCTACAAAATGTGACGTAAGGCTGCAACGTATCTGTGAGGAGGACTGTCTTAGGTGTCGGACACCGTGAACAAGGAAAGGTCAAGAAATCCAAGGAGAAAGGAACACGCTAGGCTAAGAGATAAATAACTTGCCAATGCAGTATTTGACCGGGGACAGTGTGTTGAGCGGCGGGGGGGNTTTAACGTATCATAGATTGCTTGCCGATACAAAGTCATCTTGTTCATTTCTTAAACACATAACGACATGACTGACATCCATTTTTAAATTTTTAAATTCGAGAAAACAATATTATTTGCGAAAATGCTAATCGGGCAAATTCAGCGACAGCAATACCTAAGAGAGCATTTCAACACTTAGCTTTAAGACCATTTCTTCCACTTTGTATGTCTCGAGCCCGATCTCGTACAGGTAGGAACACAGAGGGTCGCTTGTTATCTAAAGATATTATCCAAATTTAATGTATCAATGTTGTTGTATAGACGAAAAAGCTTGGATACTGGATACGATAGCGTGTATACGAGACAATATGTTGAGAATGTATTGTAGCTTGTAATATAAAACACAAGAACAATTTCACAAATCGACTTTACAAAGTAGGGAGCGAACCAGAGGATGATACATGAACCGCTTAACTGAACGTTTTTGAAAACCGGTAAATATTATATGACGATTGCACCGCAGAAATGCAGACGTACGATACTTGTCGCACTGTGTATCTACACACGTTAGTTATTTGTTTCATCAGGAGACTGGTGTCAAGGTTGTGTATCCTATATCAGAAATATGTCTTGTCAATGACCATCATCAACATCGCGCAAATTAGAATAATTAGGAGAGATACGAAGAAAGAAACCCGACTATCTATCTATAGTTTATCCCTCCACTGACCAATCTTACTATGTCATACGTACAGTATGGTATATACGTTTGTAGTTTGTAATACACGGTTAATAAAACCTGAAGGTACTGCGATTTGTCAAAACCGACGGAATCCTTAAGCCACTACAGGTACGTCTTTAAATAACTTTTAATTTTTTGCTATTAAATGAATTCGAAATGTTTATTTTTGTCATTGTTATTTTTCATTGCTTTCAATACTGTTCGTTTTTTAAAAACATTATCTGAAACTACTTTGTACTGGACGGAAATACACAACTATGATCGGGGTACTTTGAATTATCATAAAGAATTTTATGATAATAGTGCTATTTATGAACATTAATTTAACATTTCATCTCATTCATTATTTTGGATTTCCTCTTACAAACTTTCGCTATTTAATTTCGTTCAGTAACAATTTCATACCTAAAAGCTATTTAATCACATTTGTACCATTTAAGAAAACCTCTATGTGTAAATTTAGCTTCTTTGATTCATTGTCGTCAGATTAACTCATGTAATATTGGTGTCCATCTTATACATTATACCTTTCAAGTCAATTATGTTACGTAATGAGATTAACTGGTCTTACCAAGTATGACACTTAAGTCTCGGACAAAGGACAGGCTAATTGCCTTACCTGTTCGGGTACTCACCAGTCAGAATAGAGAGATAAGTGACAGCTGTCGATCAAATTAACTTTATTGTGTTAATTGTCAATGTATCACGGTTCTACATGTTTGG